TTTCCATTCTTTGTGTAGGAAAGGATTTAATTGGAAGAAATCATACTTTTTAGAAGTAAATTGAAGAGATCAGAGACTTGAGGATCAACTTGTGCAAAACCCAGAAGTCAGGAACCAATTCTGTTATTTTACCATTGAAGAAATTGCAAAAGAAGGCCAAAAACCCGACACGGGTGTAGTGTCGACACATGATCGGGGTGTCGACACCATGCGCTAAACGTCCAGAATCAGATTCTGTTTCCTATTTGGTGTCAACACGTAATCCGAAGTATCAGCACCACGCAATCAGCATCTAAAATTCAGTTTCCTATTTTTATTCCAAGTCTAACTTCTATTTCAATTAGGGTTTCTAAAATCCTATAAATACACATCCAAATTCAAAATTAGAGAGAGCTTTAGGAGGCTGGTGGCAGCCCTCTTTGGGCACTCTTGGAGATCAACATTGAGATTCATCAACAAGAAGATCAAAGATTTCAATTACTTCAAATTAGGTTTTGTTTTTCCTTAGATATTCTTATGTTCATAATTGTGATTTCAGATTTTATTATTTTTATTATGAACTGATTTATTTTATTAAGGTTATGATGTAGTCTAATCAATTCAATATAGATTTTGTGATTTTATACTTTCAATTAAAGTTATTCGCGTGAGGAGTTTATATTATTGAACTTAATGCATTGGAAGTCTGATCACCTTTCAATTGATTTAGTGATTTATGCATGAACTTGAGAAAGAATTGTGTAGATTAGACCAATAATAATATAAACCGTGTGCTAGACTATGAGACCGAGAGGTAATTAGCTCACATGTGGTAGTGGAGGAAGAGAAGAGAGTTAGGAGCTCCCCCTTCTTAAGCTAGAGGTTTCCATAGAATTTAATACTCATTAGTTGGTTTAAAATTACATAGAGATATGATTAATTTAACAAACTAGTGAAGGATTAACTTGACTTGAGAAAGCTAGTTAATTAATTTAGGGAAATCCGCCATCACATGCAATAACACTCAACAATTCGGTAATCCAGAATTTATATTGATTGATTATGGTGAAATCAATGCCTTAGTACCTCTTATCTTGATTAGATTTATTTGTTATTTTCTTTTTATTATTTTCAATTAAAGTTTCTTCCTATTTGATTGTTCAAATAAATTTAGATTAATTATTTTGGTACTTAGTTAAACACAATCCTCGTGGGTTCGACACTCTATTCATCATTATATTACTTGGAGCGACTAGTACACTTGTTAGGGTGATTTTAGTGCATCAGTATGAAAGTGAAATTAATTGACTTGACTTAAAGGCCTCTACATCAAAGAAGTTATGATATATCAACTCCACGTGGGAAGACTTATTCACGGCCTAAAACGTACATTCCTTAGCTTCTCTTACTCTTAGGTATTGTTTGATGTAGTGATTGTATATAAACGTTGTCTTACCCTCCATTCATTTTCAGCAATCTTATTTTGATTTTTTTGATTTTTTTGACTTTTCATATATAAATTTTAAATAAAAAAATCAACAGTTTATATAAACAACAATTGAAATGTTTTTTTTTTTCCTATATTAAGTTCTTGTCAAGTACTTTTATTTGATAAAAAAAATTAATTATTATTTATATAATATGTTAAATTTTTATCTAAAATTCATGTCTAAAAAACCAAAAAATTAAATTA